TCTCATGTACTTAAAAAAGAAAGATAAACAATTTTCGTAACTGCACCCTGTGTACTGTTCAGTTCCTCCTCTGTTTATTCCTCCGTTACAGATCTCTCTCATCATATAACATTATACATGAATTTATTAAATTATCAACAGTTAGTAATCTATTTAGCAATTTTATACCACTAATATGGTTTATATTTCCACGATCAAGATAGATATTTATTTGAGTTATTTATTATTTATTAAACTGCCAAAATAAGATGAAATTACACTATACTAACTTTATTCCCATAAAAAATGATTGAAATTTCAGTTAGATAGTCAGAGAGCGGTGAACATATATATGTATACAAGTTGTATTCTACCCGTTTGAATATGGAACCACGCGCTATTTATTTATCAATACAATTTTGGCAAACAAACATTTATATTATGTAATGAAAAATGTCTACACTTACAACGTTACAAAATTATAAGTAACATTTACTTATAACAAGTATACATGTAGGGAAAAGTTTCCTATCTTAGACCACTTCAGCGAATACTTCCATAAAGTGAATACGTGTTGATATCTTTGAACAGAAAGAAATAAGAAATAAGAATCGTAGTACTGTGGTTGGTACATGAATCTAAAGAACTGACTGAAATATAATGTGACTGATTATAAAAAAATGCGTTTAACACAGCAACGGTCTAAGTTATTTTGATTAAGAAATGTATAAAATGCATACTACAGATAATTATTATATACAAGGTCAAATAAAAACAACATACTTACATACTATAAAAAGAATAAAAACAACTCTGGTGATAGAAATTCTGATTGAATAGCATACTGTAGAAACCTAAATAAAATTTGTATTTGAAACTATAAGAACAAACTGCAATATATGAAAATAAAAATAACTCGAATTATTCGCGACTTTACTTGAATCATTACAAGTGATCCCTCAATTTTGTATTTTAAGGTACATACTTTTTGATACATTATACCCCTCGGAATTTTATTTCTATTATTTTTGTATGCAATCATAGCCCTTCTCATACTTTCCCACCCCACTTCCCATAGTTTCTAGATTTAGGTAATTTTAGCTTCAAGAAAATAAAGCTTCGCTTAATTCGAACCGCTCCAATTTAATCATTAGGTGGTCCAATTTTCAAAACTAACCTACGTCCAGGTGTAATAAACAAAAACTATTGCAAGTTTCAGAAAAATAATGTAATAACATTAAAAATATCATCTTTCTTTGCCATTACATCGATCACAATGAATAATTTACTTAGCAGTAAAAAGTTATGGCTTGTCTAAACCACAGGTAACGTTACAAACTGCATCAGACTAAAATTATTACTTATTGTAGAGCTTTTTATTTTAGTGCTTTTTTTCAATGGCATAGAAACTATAAATTAATTTATACTATTAGATAAATGTGTTTACTACATATGGAATATAACTATGATACTTCCAATTTAGAAGCCGGTCTAAACTATCCTATTTTCCCTTACGGAAAATTATATGATTTGCATTTTTTACACATGTCGAAGAAAACCGTTCCGCGCTCAACCGGTTAATTCTTAAATTGTACATGTTCCCTTAAGATTACGACATATCTACTGGAACCATATTTTCATTAAATTTGTTTCATTAAGAAATTAATCTACAAAACTTTCCGTTAGAAATTGATGGTAAATTGTTCATTTATTTAAAAAACTAACAATATGATACGTTGAAATATAAACGATATGAAATCTAGAGACTGTAATTTGTCTTCCAACAGTTGGTGAACAAGTATTTCCATCCTTTCAGGAAATTAGAGCAGTAACAAAGAATGGCCTCACACAAGAAATTCAATGTCGACTTCTAAACCTTTAGCTCATAAATTTCTTTTTGACGTTCATACCTTGAAATAGAGTCATGGTTTTTCAATAGCAAGCCGGAGACAAATTTCTCGATTCGATAGTAAGCGATTTTAATCACACTTCGATATTCCACATTCTGAAAAACTTTAACGATTTTCACTAGCATATCCGGGAACAATCAATATCAAAGATACACAAAATGTCGTCGAGTGAATACAAGCAAAAGATAATTCTGTAACATTATCGGAAATTCATAATATTGAAGATAAATTTAATTACTACTGTCGCCAAATACTATTAATGTGCACGTATACATATAACATGACATATGGTATTTTCGAACTTGATGTCCTAAGGGATAAACTCAAGTGACAACGTGTTACTCGTTTCTTCCAATTTATTTCTCCATATAAAATAACCTGTTCGATCGTATAATTTCGCAATACCTTGTCCGTCACAAAATCAAGTATGTAAATAACTTAGTTTCTAGTTGATTTAATAGAAATGTTTTACATGAAAATGAAACGAAGAAATCAGATCCAACGAGAATTATTTCACCGTAAACATCCTGGGTTCCGTAGGTTAATTGTACAATACTTGTTTTGATTTGGCAACAGCTATTTGTTTATATCTATGAAACAATTGAAATAATAAAATAGACGTATATAAGAATCAAGATATGCGAAGGAATGAAAATCACCCTCCCATAACAACATCGAGAGGAACTGTCTCTATTTCTAAAAATTTCGGAACAACTATTTATATGATATATTAAGCGCCATTAATGTACGTATGAGTAATGTTTCTCGGAAAATGATGTAAAAACGCCGTTGTAAAATAAGTGTCGGAATTGTTCGGCTATAGTTGGATGTATTTCATATAAAAGGCAAAATTGCAAGGAAAAGGCCATTTATTCTGGAGAAAAAAAATTGTTCTCGCGAAAAATCGTTTAAATTATAATTATATTAAGAACAATAATGAAATTGTATTACGGCGATGTTAAAGAAAGGTGGTGAATTTATACACAATATAGAACAGACATAAGATATTATTACCATCTGCAGAAATATTTATGGTAAACCGAGTAGATAACGATCCGGAGCGCACTGTAAGTATCGTTAAAACATTTTTATACGACCGAAATACATATGTATTAATGTCTAAAGTGTCCCGACCTTAATCCCCATCGAAATATTATGTGGAGCAGAAACCGAAAAATACAGAAAAATTGCAAAGCGTAATAGAGAAAGTGTCATGACAACGAAGTTGCGTCAGTACATATTATAACAAATCAACGATTTTACAATAAATAAATAATAATATATTAAATAAATAAT